CTCCAAATCTTGGGCTTAAGCAATTCTCTTGCTTCAGCCTCCCAAGTAGCTGGGACTACAGGCACCCACCACAATGCCCAGCTATTTTTTTGTTGCAGTTGTTTAGTTGGCCAGGACCAGGTTCCAACCCCACATTCTCAGTGTATATGGCTGGTGTCATAACCACTGTGCCATGGGCACTAAGCCTGGAGTTTCAGATTTGAAAGATGATGAAAAAGTCCTGCAGATTAACTGCACAACAGCATGAATATACTTAACACTACAGAACTGTACACTCAAACATGGGCCAGGTGCAGTACCTCACACCTGTAATCGTAACACTCTGGGTGGCCAAGGAAGGAGGATGCCTTGAGGTAAGGAGTTTGAGACCAGCATGAGGAACACAGCAAGACCCTATCTCTACAAAAATTTTTAAAACAGGCCAGGCATGGTGACTCACACCTGTAATCCTTACACTCTAGGAGGCCAAGACAGGTAAACTGCCTCAGCTCGGGAGTTCGAGACCAGCCTAAGTAAGAATAAGACCCTGATCTAAAAAAAAAATAGCTGGGTGTTATGGCAGACGCTTGTAGTCAGCAATAGAATCTCCTGAATCCAAGAATTTGAGGTTGCTGTAAGCTATGACACCAAGGTACTTGGTCCCAGGATCGAGCGTTGTGGTGGGTGCCTGTAGTCCCAGCTACAAGAGAATCACTTAAGCCCAAGAGTTTGAGGTTGCTGTGATCTGCGATGCTACGGCACTCTACCAGGGTGACAGCTTGAGATTCTGTCTCAAAAAAAAAAAAAAAAAAACATTTAATTTAGCCTGGTATGGTAGGATGTGCCTATAGTCCTAGCTACTTAGAAGGCTGAGCCCAAAGGATCACTTGAGCCCAGGAATTGAGGTGAGCTGTGATCGTGACACCTCATTCCACTCTGGTCAACAGAGCAAGAGACCCTAACTTGCCACAAACAAGAAAAGAAAACACAACAATGTACATACCTTGACCGAGCGTAGTGGTTCACTCCTATAATCCTAGCACTCTGGGAGGCCGAGGTGGGTGGATTGCTTGAGCTCATGAGTTTGAGACCAGCCTGAGCAAAAGCAACACCCCGTCTCTACTAAAAAATAGAAAAACCGAAGCAAGAGGATCGCTTGAACCCAAGTTGTAGGCTGCTGTGAGCTATGATGCCATGGCACTCTATCCAGGGTGACAGCTTGAGACTCTGTCTCAAAAAAAAAGTACATACCTTAATTAAAATGTACTTATTGCTAAAAAATGCTAACAATCATTTCAGTCTTTAGTGAGTCATAATCTTTTTGCTAATAGAGGGTCTGGCCTTGATGTTGATGGTTGCTAACTCATCTGATCAGTGTAGTGGTTGATGAAAGTTGGGGTGGCTATGTTTTGAGACAGAATCTCACTTTGTCACCCTCAGTAGAGTGTCGTGGTGTCTTTCTTTTATCTTTGCAGTTTTTGGCCAGGGTTAGGTTTGAATCCGCCACCTGCGGCATATGGGGCCGGTGCCCTACTCCTTTGAGCCACAGGCACCGCTCTTTTATTTTTTATTTATTTATTTATTTATTTATTTTTTAGTGCCGTGGTGTCATAGTTCGCAGCAACCTCAAACTCCTGGGCTCAAGTCAGTGTCTTGCCTCAGCCTCTGTAGTAGCTGAGACAATAGGTGCCCACCACAACACCCAACAATTTTTAGAGACAAGGTCTCTCTTTTGCTCAGGCTGGTCTCAAACCTGTTATCTCAGGCAATCCACTCACCTCAGTCTCCCAAGTGCTAGGATTACAAGCATTAGGCACTGAGCCTGGCCAGGAATTTCTTTTTTTTTCTGAGACAAGAGCCTCAAGCTGTCCCCCTGGGTACAGTGCTGTGGCATCTCAGCTCACAGCAACCTCCAACTCCTGGGCTCAAGCGAGTCTCCTGCCTCAGCCTCCCAAGTACGCTGGGACCACAGGTGCCCGCCACAACGCCCGGCTATTTTTTGGTTGCAGCCGTCATTGTTGTTTGGCGGGCCTGGGCTGGATTCTCGAACCCGCCACCTTAGGTGTACATGGCTGGCACCTTGGTCACTTGAGCCACAGGCGCCGAGCCAGGAATTTCTTAAATAAAACAACAGTCAACAATAAGGCTCAGCAACTGTAGCTCAGCGTCTAGGGGCACCAGCCACATACACCAGAGCTGGTGGGTTTGAATCCAGCCCGGGCCCGCCAAACAATGACAACTACAACCAAAAAATAGCCGGGCATAGTTATGGCAGGCGCCTGTAGTCCCAGCTACTTGGGAGACTGAGACAAGAGAATCACCTAAGCCCAAAAATTTGAGGTTGCTGTGAGTTGCCACACCATGGCACTCTACCCAGGGCAACAGCTTGAGACTCTGACTCAAAAAAAACAAACAATGGGGCGGTACCTATGGCTCAGTGAGTAGGGTACTGGTCCCATATACTTAGGGTGGCAGGTTCAAGCCCAGCCCTGGCCAAACTGCAACAAAAAATAGCCGGGTGTTATGGCTGGTGCCTGTGATCCCAGCTACTTGGGAGGCTGAGGCAAGAGAATCGCCTAAGCCCAAGAGCTAGAGGTTGCTGTGAGCTGTGATGCCGGAGCACTCTACCGAGGGCAACAGAGTGAGACTCTGTCTCTAAAAAAATATATAAATAAATTTAAAAAAACAACAATGACAACTGCAACAAAAAAATAGCCAGGTGTTGTGGCGGGAGCCTGTAGTCCCAGCTACTTAGGAAGCTGAGGCAAGAGAATTGCTTGAGCCCAAGAGTTTGAGGTTGCTGTGAGCTAAGACACCATGGCACTCTACCAACGGCAATATAATGAGTCTCTGTCTCAAAAAAAAAAGAAAGAAAGAAAGAAAGAAAGAAGCATGCTCTTGTCAGAAGCAGTTAAGTTTAGAAAAAAGCAATTTATTCCCCAAAGATCTGCAAGGTCTTCTGCCATAGATACAAGTTGAGGATACCAGTTTCTATTTCCTGATGCTAGTTAAGTCAAGCGCACAATATCCATGTAGATACACATGACCTGTAACCACTACCAAGGTGAACATTTAGCTACAAAAGCAACATTTACTGCACCTGAAAAGAGTCCAGAGTTGTCTATAGGGCCAGGAAACAGGTTATGTTCACCCACATTGTACACATCCCAGCTGTCAAAGCCCACATACTTCTTCCACTGCTTGAACCATCGGCTGTCAATAAGATACCTAGAGAGAGACAAAATTACTGTACCAGAAAATGAGGTTGTGAGTTTCTAGCCAGGCACAATGGCTCACACCTGCACATCCCAGCAACTCAGGAGGTGGAGGCAGGAGGATTGCTTGAGCCCAGGAGCTTAAGACCAGCTTGGGCAACATAGTGATACTCTGTCCCTTAAAAAAAAAAAAAAAGAAAAGAAAAACTGGGCGGCGCCAGTGGCTCAGTGAGTAGAGCGCTGGCCTCATATACCGAGGGTAGAGGGTTCAAACCTAGCCATGGCCAAACTGCAAGAAAAAATTAGCCAGGCTTTGTGGCTAGTGTCTGTAGTCCCAGCTACTCGGAGGTTGAGGAAAGAGAATTGCCTAAGCCCAGGAGTTGGAGGTTGCTGTAAGCTGTGTGACGCTACAGCACTCTACCAAGGGCCACAAAGTGAGACTTTGTCTCTAAAAAAAAAGGTTTCTACAGCTGTTCATTTAATCTTTTTTTATGGTCTTTCCACTTCGGGAACATGAAAAACACACTCATGGGCTTGGTGCCTATAGCTCAGAGGCTAGGGTGCCAGCCACATACACTGGAGCTGGGGGTTCGAATCCAGCCTGGGCCTGCCAAACAACGACAACTCCAACCAAAAAAATAAAAATAAAAAATAGCTGGGGGTGGCACCTGTGGCTCAGTGGATAGAGTAGGGTACCGGCCCCATATACTGAGGGTGGTGAGTTTGAGCACGGCCCCACCAAACTGCAACAAAAAAACAGCCAGGCATTGTGGCAGGTGCCTATAGTCCCAGCTACTTGGGAGGCTGAGGCTGTGAGCTGTGAGGCCACGGCACTCTACCCAGGGTGACGTAGTGAGACTCTGCCTCAAAAAAAAAAATTAAAAAAAAGAAAAGAAAATCACACTCAAGGCTGGGTGTGGTGGCCTACACATGTAATCCTAGAACTCTGGGAGGCCAAGGTAGGTGGACTGCTTGAGCAGCCTGACCAGTAGCAAGACCCTGTCTCTATTAAAAAAAAAAAGTAGGCTC